ACACACACACACACACACACTCGTGCTCGCGCGCGCACTGTTTCCCCCTTTTCCCTCGCTTCTCGGTCAGCAAGTGATCAGTTGCAAGCGGCGTTATCAATATTCTTGTTCTGCAAACAGCGGATCTCTGCAGCTTGAGGCGATATCTTTTATTCAGCTGACCAAATACTGGGCGATGAGCAGTGGTATAAAACAGTACTTTGGTCTTGAACTGTAACAAGTCCCGAAAAGATAACCCGTACCTCCCAACAAACAAACAATCAAACAAAAAAGCAAACAAACACACACACAAAGAAACAAACAAACAAACCAAAAAGGTTATTGCAACAGCGTTCCAATCTAATTGGAGCACGATATCCTAGTTACATAATAAAAGAGCTTTGGATGTACCATATGCAGTTGCGAGCGCCGTAAAACCCCATACTAAACTAACTTGGATGTACCATGGAAAGATTATGGGCTGGAGACAGTTTTTTTGGGAAAAATGATAAATTATTGTATCCTTTGAAAGACCCTTGGTTTTGTTTAACAATAAACTGTCGCTAAAGCAACGGATGTGAAATTTTAGCTCAGCTGTCTGCCCCTCCCCCCCTTTCCAAAAGATTTCGTGAATCCGAAACTAACGGTAGTCTGCTGCGTAGTGGGCTTGAACTTCATCCGCATGAAAAATTGAGGTTCGAATTTGCAGTGAGTCAGTGTACTGACATTTCACGCCATTCCTAGATGAAGATTACACCTCAGTTGGCTTGTCCCAACGGTGGGTCGCGTGCTCTGACAACTAAGCGACGTAGATCTACATTGTGTTTTGTTGAGAGTTAAGACTAAGAGTGCATGAACTCTTGAGAGCAAAGCTAAAGAAAATCACCAGTAGGCTTAATTCAACCTGCTTATGTTACTTCTGTCAGCTGGACAGTTGATCTGATGATTGTCAATCTACTACATTGAGCTTTTTGTTTTGTCCCGTGTGTGCGTGACCTTTTAAAAGTTCATATGAGGGTAAATGATAGAACGTGGCCTTTTGCAGTCTTGTCTGATTTGTGTCGCGACGGGGTGGAATCAGGCGCCTGTCCATTTTGGGGCATATGGAGTTATTAGTATTAGTAATATCATCTTAAGGCTTGTTCATGTTTTTATCCTCCCCTGACAGATCCTACATGTTGACGAAGTGAAAGAGAGCTTCGCTTTCACCGCTTTCATTGTCTCCCAGTGGTGGGACAAATCCCTTGTCTGGGACGTGGAGGAGTTCAGCGGCCTGGACAGCATTCAGATGCGAAATAGTACTTTATGGAACCCATTCATCTATTTCGGTAACGGCGCACGAAAGAACTTCGTATTGAAGGCCCCGGACATTGTAGAAGTAAGACACACAGGGGAAGTTAGAACGCTCCAAAGTTTGCAGATGGTAACCTCTTGTTTTCTCGACTTGACTTACTTCCCCTCTGACACCCAGAACTGCTCTGTGATCCTTCAGGCTTTGAATAACGGTGAGCAGATCATCATCCACTCGATGAGTTCGAACTTTTCGTCCTTTGATATTGAAACCAATACTGAATGGACACTGGAAAGCTCTTGCGAGTCGATGATACGTTGGGACAATGGCTTCCAGAATGATTCCAAGTTTATCGTTTTTTATTTTTTCCTACGTCGTCGTTCCACTTTCTACATTGTCAACATCGTGATGCCCATAGCTTTGACGTCACTTATGTCTTTAGTAGTGTTTCTTATCCCCCCTTCTTCGGGAGAGAAGATTTCCTTCCTCGTAGCCTTGTTCGTCAGCCTCACCGTGTTTCTAATGCTGGTGAGTAACATGCTTCCCCGTAGTCTGAACGAAGTTCCGAAACTAAACACTTTTGTAGTGATCGCCATGACGAAATGCTTCCTTGTCCTTATAGCTACGGTAGTCGTTCTAAGGCGCTACCACTGGGAACAGGAGAGAGGCGTTGCCAAAAACCCAACACGACGACGAGCACATAAAATTTCTCAGACGGATCAACTGTCTTCAATGCCTGATGAACGACGATTCTGGCGCTCTGGGATCTACACTCTCACAACTACCACAGCGTATGGGACCAAGGAGGACAAAACCACCCAGACGAGGCAGAGAAGTCGACGTAAAGTAAAACGTGGCAAAGAAGCAGAAGAGGTAGACGACTGTGAGTCCGGCGTTGAAGGAGGACCCCCCACCAAAGAGCACGACGACACTGATGAAAAAAAATCTTGGTTTTCTTCCTCCCGTCTTGATTTTCTCTTTTTGGTAGTCTTTCTCTGTATCTCCATTCCTTTGTACGTATCTCTCTTTTGGTCCATTTAAGAAAATACGCTCATTTTCCCAACTGATGTTCCAGCACTTTCATAATAAAAGTGTTCATGTATTATCATTTTCATAATTTTATCATCGTTTTTTCCACGTATTATTCAACAATATATAAACATCTACATGTAAGTCAGTTGGTATACATATCTTTTGTCTTCTCTGGCCGGTTCTGTGGTGCTGTAAGATGAATGCATTTCTTGTAGACTAAATCATTTTGATGTATGATCAACGTTTGTTTTGCAACATGGAATCTCAACATTTATTTGTTATGTAACGTATTAGTTTATAATCACAAACTTGCGGAAAAAGCAAGAGTAGCTTTTCCCTAAATTTTCTATTACTTATTGTCACTTAATACAATCATTTGGAGGAGAAAAAAATCGAAAAGAAGACAATAAATTTCAAGACTTAAGAAATCTATATCAAACGGTGTACATGTATTAAGTATCATACACCATTTTGAAGTTTCATGTTTTTTTGTGTGTGACCTCATAACCTTTTCAGAGTGATACTGGGACGTAGTAAATGTATATAAAATGACGCATGAGTTGTTCTCTTTGCATTATGTAAAGTGTGCGAGTCGGATGCATGGGGAGGTATGCAAAGAAAGAGGGTAGTTGGATGGATGCTACTGAGAGTTACTACTTCTTTACTCTGTATCTATTGTTTCTGATTATGAGTCTTTATTTTTCCTAGCACAATTGGCCGTTTCTGTGTCGACACGTGAATAAAAAGAACTTTTTTTTTATAAACCCAAACTGCAATAAAAAAAAAGCCTATAATTTGGATGTACTTTCCGAAAGCCTTCTTGAGCTGACATTCTAAAACAAGGAGAGAATGACAGTTTCCAAGGCTATCATCTTCTCTGTTTTTAAGTGGACGAAATCGATTTTAGACAGACAAGTAAGAGCCTTTATCAACAACACCATTTTGCAGTATCAGTTCCCATTCAGTAGCCGAGTACTTCCTCTGCAAGCACTTCATGCCAACAACAAAGATAACGTTTTGAGTCCTTGAGAAACATTTCGATTGTTTTGTTGCCAATTAGGAATTGAAACAATGTTTTTGAGTTTTTCTATCATATTTCATTAACGGCCGATAACAAATACGAAAGGTAACGGCGCCTCTTTATCTCACTGATATTCTGAGCCAGTGAGATGTCCTGTTTACGAAGCTTTTAGTGTGGGGGAAAGAAAGGCAGTTAGCAAAGGAAGACGGGGAGAAAATTTAAAGACTCAAGACGAACGAAAAGCCATAAACACATCATCATCATCATCATCATCATCATCATCATCATCATCATCATCATCATCACCATCATCATTGTATACAGAGAATAAAAAATGTTGAGATTTGGTAGGATTGCCAAAATATTGTACAATACGTTCAACGTTTCGCCCACTTAGGGATTCGTCAGGATCATCATCATCATCATCATCATCATCATCATCATCATCATCATCATCATCATCATCATCATCATCATCATCATTGGAGTTTAAGATGGTATAAGAACTTTGTAAATGAAGAGCTCAGCCCATGTTGCCGAAGATGCGGACATGAAAAGGAGGATATCAAACATATGTTTGAATGTCCAGGAACAATGACAATGCGAATGGAGTTATTTGGATGAGTGGAGGTGCCGCTAAGCATAATATTGACAATGGAGCAGAAAAAGAGCCTCGCTCTCGCTCGAAGATTTCTTCTTGAAGTCCGTCAGGCCCATTAATGAAACGAAAAAATCATCATCATCATCATCATCATCATCATCATCATCATCATCATCATCATCATCATCATCATCATCATCATCATCATCATTGTAGAAAAGTAGAATAGGGAAGGAGAGTCTTCCCCTAAAAAATATTCGGTCAGTAAATGTGAAAATCAATTTTTATTTGGTTATCAAACGGCCCAATGCGTCGCCAGGTCAGAAAGTTGAACATTGAGAAATCAATTCTGATTTATCATACTTTCTCTCAAAAGTTATGCACGTGCTCTTATCGTGGCAAGGTCGAGGGGAGTTCCTTCTGCTGACAGCTTGACGGCTGGTCAATTGATTAATAAATGGGATGCAGAGTGGTTGGGTGCAGAATCAGGCGCTCGTCCGAATATAATGAAATTGAAGAAACCGGCATTTTTTTCCCATCGGTATAGCAATTTTTATCGAATTTTTGTTTTTTGGCTCAACAAATTTTATGTCATTATAAAAACACATTTCCATGAAAATTTAACTGAAAAAGAAACAATTGATTTAAGGCACAATGAGAAAAATTTAAGTTTCCACGGACGCTCAAGCTAGCTGTGGAAATAACCGCACTTTGTCGGCCATTATCTCGCTAATTTTACTTCTGAAACCAGGCAGCCCACATCTCCTTCAAACTGGAATATTTCGACTTATGTTTAAGACAGATATATATTTGTTTTTATATCGAAAACAAGACAATTAAACAAGCAATACGATTATGCCAATAACTCCATATGCCTACAAATTGACAAGCGTTGCGACGCAAATGTGTGATAGACAAGGCAAAGTTTTGAGCCAACTTTGCAAAGACAGGGGTAAAGACAGAGAGAGAGAGAGAGAGAGAGAGAGAGAGAGAGAGAGAGAGAGAGAGAGA